GCGGTTGCCGTGCCTAGAATAGAGGTCAGTTGAGGTCTGTAATCAACATCATACTGTCATGCTGTACGCATACGCATACGCAGCGCTAGGGCTACATAGTACGCGATCTGATTGCGACAATGCATCATGACGACAGGGGTCTGGAAAGGTAGCTGAAAACGTACCTGACGACAAAGATGTAGGCCGGCGTACGGCCCATGGTCAAGTCTTGAACAGAGGCAAAATGGAACAACCCGTAGAATGTGCTGAGACAGCAAAGACCTCGACAAGTTGAAGAGAAAGATTTGTCAGTTGTTTCGGTGGACAGAAGAGTAAGGTTGGATTGAACCGAATAAGAGATGGAGGCCAAGGGGGTAGTCAAATACCCTGGCGCACGTCGCACAGTTAGTTTGGTTATTTTAGATGGAGCTTGTGCAGGCGCCCGCTATAAAGCCGACGGGACTAGGTTAGTTAGTAGGCAGGGCAGTGTAAGTACTGTACCCAGACCCAGGCACCTTGTAGCCTCCACTACAAAAGTGGCCGATTTAGGCTCCCCGGCGTTTCTGGCGTTTTGCCTCTGGGTGTCGAATTACTCAAATTAGACGAGACGGAAGAGGATAACGCAGCCAAAGACTCATATGCACGCCACGGTCCAGAAGGTCTACCGGTACACAACGTAGAAGCAGGGAGCTCAACTAGGGATCGTTTCTGGTGTGGCTGTTAAGCAGGTGACCAGGGGGTGGTTGGTCCCTAAGAGCCGGGCTCGAGGTACCTGGGCTCACCTCAGCGAGTCACCGTCGCACGGCAGAGGTTGACCTGAGGTGAAGGAAGAGACAAAGGCAGGGTCCTTGAGGTGGGCGTAACATACACCGTGTCACCCCGGATAGTAGGAGATAAGATGAGGCGGAAGAGAAAAGGAGTATCCGTATATGGTGTTTCGATGTTGTTTGGTTGTGTACCTTTCGCGTTGTAGCTTACTTGTAGACTTTGGAAACGAAGATGGCAAGTCTTTGAAAAGAGGGAAAGTTATGGGAGGAGTAAGAAGAGGAGTAGGAGAACACAAAGACAGGTTAAGGACTACCTTTAGCAACAAGTTTGAGACCTCCAACACTCCAAAGTCGAAACACGACACACACGCACACACATACTTTGCACCTTGATCTTACTCCTCACCTTGCCAACCTACCCAGCTAAAGACCCAGACCCAAAGAAAGGGTGCATCCAATGCATTGCATTTGGTCTTCGTGTTGTGTTACGATAAAGTTTGCGGGGCAATGTCAGACACTTACTAGGTTAGTAGGTGTGTATAAAAATCATGGAAGCTTTGGAGTTTTCGTCAGCCAGCCTTAATTAACTTACAGTACCTAAGGAAAGTAAACAGGTCTAGTCAAATCATGATCGGAGACTTTTGTCAAAAAAGACTGAAACCAAACGATAATTGGCATTGATCAGCATTGTCATACTGTAATGAATATTGAACACGATGCTCATTGTCGCACATGCCCAAGTTTGGGGGTTCTCCTGAGGAGATGTTGGGGGGTTAGACTGTTCTTTTGGACTGTCATGGTCATGATGCATCATTCTATCGTGATTCTCCTCAACCCCAGGTTTTTCTTCCCCCAGCTTCTCTCGGTAACAGGTGATGTTTGAGGCTTTTTACCACGCGCTTCATCATTTCAAGCTGATGTTTCCGGCATGTAGTCATGGAACCTCTCGTCATTGGATGTCTTTGGTTCTCGACCTCAGGGCTTCTGAACTGACCCCGTGGCTCTATGCACGATATTATTGCTCAACCTCGGCCAATACTCACAACCACCGAGTTTACCTTAATTAAGCCGGTCCAACCTTGGTCTGCCTGCACTGGAAGTACAGTACCATCCATACAGTACAGCTCTAGATCCATGCCCTGTCCATGCATGGCATAACCTGGCCTACTGTATGTAAGGTAGCGGTTATAGGTAAAGAAGGCATATGCCAAGTGGATCACCTACGCCATTCAAAACACGACTCGACGATTTGGAGCATTTCTCGCCTGAAATATTCATGTGATCGTACCTTGCCTTTCCAACTCCGGTGCCGGCCCTCATTCGTCACTTGCGGCTCACCAGAAGCCTCCTGTATTTTCTTTTCAGCCCACCTGACGATAGATACATGGCTTAATTTTATGGAGTCGTTATGCACGAGGTCGTTCACCTTTCTCGGTATGCGCCAACGGCTTTGTTCGGCATCTCTGCCAAGGTGACCTTTTCTGCTTTGCTTCTCTAGTCGCAGTTTGTCCAGTGAACAATTGAATGTCCTAGTCGCTACGACCCCAGTCTCAGTTCCATCCATGGTCTATCACATCGTCATGGTGGAGTCTCTGCAGGGTCCTCCATTTTTTTCTGTTCGCTCTTCCACGCAGCTACAGGACGCTACTGTAAGTGACTTACTAATTACAGATTGTGCTTTCTCGTTGTCGTGTTGAAAATTCGTTCCCGTCATGACCATGAAGGCACAAGAAGAGGGGTTTATGGGTCCTGGCCGGTATATCCGCATCAGACTGAAGCGCTTTGATTCAGGCTAAGATAAAGATTGCTTGGATCTTGAAAAAAGTTTTCGCATAGTTTAGGTATCTTTAGTCTGGCTAAGTGGAATAGAATGCTCTTGGTAAGTCTTTTCAGTTAGGATCATGAACGACGCAGTTCATACGCCTATACCCTCGTTGTGTTTTTTCCTGTACACTCCCTAACCATGTTGATCTCAAATCATGCCGAGCCACATGTATCTGATCCCATTCTCAGACTCAATATTCCCTAAAACAACACCCATGACACAGTCATTTCCAACATCAGAGCATATCTCACTCGTAGTCGAACCATATCAGATACCCTCATCAAACAAACACGACGCCAACAGATCCAACCCCAACTGTTTCTCAATCCTGGTTGAGAAACAGGAGAGATTATCCGCATGTTTGCCAGCTCACCCCAAGATTTTTCTTTTTTGTCGAGATGTACAAGGTAACAACTGAAAGGTGAAGTTCCATTGCCTTTGAGATAGGTACCTTGTTCAGATTGGTGACATGCTGTGGGAATTTGTTAGTGCTTTGAATCAGTACAAGCGCCAGGGGCCGTCTTATCGGATCGTCCACGCCGAAAACTCCGGGTCCAGATCTGGTTAGACTCCGATTATATGTTGAACAGTAATCAATCACCGTTAATGTTAGGTGTTCCCTCCTTGGTGACGTTGATCCAAAAAGGGATATCCAGTGGATGGAATTCATGATTATCGCCGCTGTATTTGTAAGTCTGAGGGAGCATTTTTTAGCAACCTCAGTTTCATTGACATAGGTAGCCAGCGGATATGCCCTTTGCTCCATCTGTCTTCTGAACTTCACTCCTTACTCACTACCACGCTCCCTTGTCCACCAATTCGCTTCATCGTATCACATCCCCCGCCATGAAGCTCTCAATACTTCGATTTCATGCCATCGTGGCAGCGGCCATGTTCGCAACAATCGCTTTTGCCGAGCATACCAGCAATTGGGCCGTTCTCGTCTGCACATCACGATTCTGGTTCAACTACCGCCATCTCGCCAATGTCCTTTCTATGTACCGTACCGTCAAGCGCCTGGGTATCCCTGACTCCCAGATCATCCTTATGCTTCCCGACGACATGGCCTGCAATCCCCGGAACGCGTTCCCCGGAACCGTCTATAGCAATTCTGATCGCGCTGTCGATCTCTACGGCGACAACATCGAGGTGGACTACCGTGGCTACGAGGTTACTGTCGAGAACTTTATTCGCCTGTTGACGGATCGCGTGGGCGCGGAGATGCCGCGAAGCAAGCGCCTGCTTACAGATGATCGAAGCAATATCTTGGTTTACATGACTGGCCATGGTGGAAACGAGTTCCTCAAGTTCCAGGATGCTGAGGAGATTGGCGCATTTGATCTTGCCAACGCTTTTGAGGAGATGTGGGAGAAGAAGAGGTAGGTGGTAGCTTCACTGCTTTCCTGTCAACCACTAACGATGTTCAGATATCACGAGATTCTCTTCATGATCGACACCTGCCAAGCAAACACCATGTACAGCAGACTCTACTCCCCTAATATCATCGCTACCGGTTCCTCCAAGCTCGATCAGTCCTCATATTCACATCATGCCGACAACGATGTGGGCGTCGCCGTTATCGATCGATACACGTACTACAACCTTGAATTCCTTGAGAACAACGTCAAGGACCTGAACAGCCAGAAGACAGTGGGCGAATTGTTCGACAGCTACGACTTCGGCAAGATCCACTCACATGCTGGAGTGCGCTACGACCTCTTCCCCGGCGGCGAAGAAAACGCCCGTAGCCGTCTGATCACAGACTTCTTCGGCAACATTCAGAACGTTGAGGTTGACCGCAGCGGTAACTTGACTCTCGAAGAGGACCTCCTGGCGCTTAGCAAGAAAATTGCTCTTCTGCAGCAGAAGGAAGCAGAGGCAGCCAAAGAGTCTGTTGGGGAGAAGGTATCTGCAAAGGCACCTGCTAGTGCTCCAACCGAGACAGCCAAGAAGATTCAAAAAGCCAAGGCATTGACGGATGATAACTGGTGGACCAAGAAAGTCGTTGGTGCGACAGCGCTTGCAGGCTGTGGTCTTCTCTGGGGTTTAGGGTCTTTCTTAGAGGCTTAAGGTCAACAATCACAAATATTGTTATTTTTATATATTTATGGCATACCGAGAATATGGAGAACGGCGTACTTGACGGGATTGATGTGTTTTTGTTACCATACCACCTAGTGATAAGTCGATAAATGATCTTGTTTGTTTTTTCTTCATGGTGTAGGTATGAGATGTGTACTGCTTCTTTCTTAGTCAGCAACTTTTTTCTGTATCAATCACTTCATGCGAAATCTCATGAAACTCTCAGTTCTACCATGCCACTGTCGAATTAAAGACCAAACTTCCTTCTCACATGATTATCCTATGAGATCTGAAATTCTCATGCTATTTGCGGGCGCCTTCTGACACAATCCGTCTCAGTTGCCACAATGGAAAAGTCTAAGGTGAGAGTGAGACTTCAACAACAAAAGATTCGGTTGACTGCTCAGGCGAGACATACTGGTACTGCTGCACAGCCATTCTTATATCCCCCCTATTGAATAATAAGTTTTAAGGCAAGACTTGCTGACCGATCTGAAAACAAAGACGAGGCCCCTCAAAACAATTCATCTCAAGTCGCGTCCACTGACAACTCATGCTCTGGCATGGTCTTGTGATGCAGAGCTTGCAGTTGCTACAGATGATACCATTTACATATTTCTTCCAGAGTATCCGAGGAGTGGCGGTCCTGACGAAGGAGCGGATGAAGAAGAATTACAGAGCCAGTACACGCTCTCCTATCGGGCCTCAGGCTTGATTCGTCCAGATCCCGCAATCAATGCACAGCTTTGTTCGTTTTCCGGTATCAGAGTGGCTGGACCGCCAGCCAACGACGAGAATTGGTTTCCTGGTGTGGGGAATGGGTTAGTGACAGGTTCGGGGGCACCAATCTGCCAGATTGTGAGGTTAGAATGGTCACCAAATGGATTGGGTTGTAATCTTCGACCTATCTTGACAGCACTTTCGACCAGTGGATGTATATACACGATTGGTGAGCACATCGATCGACAGTCTGCAATGATATCAGGCATGCGGGTTCGAAGCTTCAAGGCGTGGAAGACACTCTGGGGCCTCGGGGCCCAGCTTCCGCTGCCCGACAGCAACGAAGAAGATGGATACCGAAATATGAATGAACGCATCCAGGCCTTCTCGTGGGCCAAGGAAGTGGATACAGGGAGAGGTCTTCTGGCGTACTGCAATGATGTCGAAGAAATAGCAGTAATGGCGGTGCAGCTCTTCTCGCAAGCAAAAGAAGGCGATCTTTCGAGTGAAGAAACGCGATGGGGCATCCAGGAAGTTGGCCGATTTGATGGTAGAGGGAGACATGTTAAGGAAGACGTGAGTCATGCTGGACTTGGTCGGAGAATGCTCTAACATGAAATAGGCTGTGGATATCACAGATCCCGATTACGTGCCCCATGGGAGTGCTTTTTCTTTGAAATGGAGCCCCTGGTTCAACAGCCAAGGCAAAAGGGTTGCTATACTGGCATATTTGGCAAAGAATCATGTTGGGTTCCGAAAGATCACTATCCTTGGCAATTGGGAAAGGGGCCAGCCTCCACACGTCGAGGTCGAGGAGGCGGATATGGCAGCCATTTGCATGTTTCTATCAACGGACGCATACATCGAGTGGGAAGACCTGGTACGTGGTTCATGAGATATGGAATAGCCGTAGCTAACCTGGCCCGAGATCGTATATGACGTTGACAAGCCCGTAGTTAGGGGCGTGGTCGCTGATCCGTTCAATGTGAAGCCGTTCCAGGTTTCGTTTGTTGGCGACGCTGAGGAGTTGGCTGGCGCTCACTATACTTGGGAGTGCTCGACAACGTATTCTAAGGAAGATGAAATAGTCTCATCGAATCCTATTTCTGGTACGTAAGTTTTACAGGCTTTGCACACAACCCATCTAATAGCAACTTAGGACTTTTAATTCACGATCAAGGCATAACACACACAGGATCAGTTCCGTACTACTCAATCGCCAGATTATCTGCAACATCGCGCAACCAAGACTGGTTTCAAACAAACCTTCCGGACTCGGAGGCCTCTGTACCGAAATGGGCAACAAGAATTCGGAAGCAGACAACACGGCTCGTTGCAAGAGCGGTTGCGCTAGAAGGATTAGACTCGGATTCGGATGACTCAGAAGACGACCTAATGGACGAAGATACAACACAATTACAAGTTCCCGAATCGAGGTACCGCATTTGGGGTGTGGTGCAGTCACCCGGCGGTGGCACCACAGCAGTGCTTGTATCACGATACAGCACTTTGCACCCAGAAAGGCGAGCACTCTGCAAACTAATGTTCTCAAGAAGAGACGAAGAGCGCGGCGAAGATGATGCAGTCACACTATCGAAGCCTTTAACCACTGAAGGCCAGGTTTGGGAGTGGATGTACGGGAATGCCCCTGAAGTGCTTGGGACTACAGTAACCCGCAAGATATCTCCTGAGCTTAACAATTCTTTATTGAGAGAGAAGTTCAGAGATGTTGCAGCTAGTCAACACTGCGTGTTTTGCGATGCGGCATTACGATTGGAGGAGGAAGAGGCAAAATGTGAAAACGGACATTTGTTTGGTAAGTTGTCTACGCAACCTCTCTATGGCCGTTGTTGTTGTTGTTGTTGTTGACGCACCTTGTATAGCGCGCTGTGCTTCTACGGGACTGGCGATAATGGCTCCTGATATTTCTCGGATCTGTGCAGTGTGTGAGTTGCGATGTCTGAAAGTCGCAGAGTTGAAGCGTGTTGTCGAGGTGCATTTTGGACCAGGGGCAAATGTACAGGCATCAGGGGAGGTTTGTGGTGGATGCGGGGGGAAGTTCGTCGCATGAATACCTTAGGTAGTAGGTACCTATGGAGGTGAGTTGGCGCCTGAAGTACAAATACAATAGCAGAAACGGTTTGGTAGCAGATCAGCAATATGGGGAGCAAGGGGTTCCTCTGTATCTTTTCTTCAAGGGTGTTCTTCTTTTACACCCGCCATACACGTACGGGGAGAAAGGCTACCTAAGGAGTCGGGAGATCCAGATTCCTATCTATTCCTCAAGAAGCAAGAAAACAGCAGACCTCGACATAGGGTATCAGAATAGATTTAGCAAAGGATATCCTAAGTCGATACTAAATTTATCCTAAATTACCTAAGTCTTTTTATCACTTAGAATCAAGGTCCCTAGCCATTATCGAACCAATAACACAATAGACGAGCAAACCCATCTGTGAGACACTGCGCGGCAAGGGAGCCAATCACTACGATCTGCCCCGCATTACCTCGGATTTAGTGTGCAAGGACCCTGATTTTGTGATTCAGGTCACTTCTTTAAGCGCTAGTACTCGTTGCCTGCACCGTATCAAACGGATCTCTTGGCAGTGACAGGCAGCTGTAGGTAGCTACCTACAGCGCAGGGCATGTACTCCCAACAACCTTCAATCCGTTATCGTCATCTTCTCTTTTCCAACATTCAACCTCACTCTTGAGACATCCGCGTAAATACTGCCTGTCTTCTCTTTATTTTCTCGCAATTTCCACCTTTTCACCCCTGCTTCTAGTAACCATAACGCAGATCATCTACTAGCGGCTAGGAGGCTCTCACTTACACACCATGTCTGCTTCGCGATCTGACGCAGCTGTTCCAGCAGTCAGTGCCAACTTCGAAGAGTGAGTATCGGCATGCATTTCTATCGACTTTCCCAAACATTCTGACTCTGACATCAGATCTCTCGCTTCCAAGCCCTTTCTCTTCGTTGTCGGCCCAGAGGCTAAGGAGTTCCATGTACACAAGGAACTCATCGGCCGACTATCGCCAGTTCTAAACGCTCTAGTAAACGGGAACATGAGAGAAGCCCGAGAAGGTCGCGTCGTATGGGCAGACCTAGATGTCGACACTTTTGTGCGCTTCGCCAAATTCGCCTACTCTGGTGACTACAGTGAGGCACAACCTGTTCTTATCCGGGAATCAGAACTTGATACTGAAGGCAACCACTTTCCAATCCAACCATATACTCGTGGTGGAAATGGCCATGCACCCTCGTCTGAGCAGGACTCAGATGACTCTCACAGCACCCGTAGCACCCGCTCAAATTCGGAGGAAATGCGTGACGACAATGATTTTGATGAAGACGAGGATCTTGACGACGATGATGACTCTTCCGAAGACACTCCTGCTGGATACCACAGCCCTGTCGGTGACAGAGCAAGTTCATCTGAGGCTTCCTCCACTGTAGACCACATGCCAACACGCAATGGCGGTAACCGACCACCGTTCACTTATACCTACACCTACGATTATTGCGAGTGGAAGCTGCCAGCGGCTGTTGGCGAGTTTATACAGAGTTATCAGTCCAACAACGATCAACAAAACGGCGTTCTACAGTTGGCTGAAGACGGCGGACTATCAAGACGCAAACGCAGGTGTCCAGATCAAAGTTATATGCTTGACGTAACAACCCCAATAGGAAAGCGGTTTGAAGCGATGAGAAATTTTGCCCGTCCTCCTTACAACTCATCCATGATTCACGGCGGCGCTCCGGCGGTGACTAGTTTGCAGAACACCCAAGAAGGCAAATACTCATATCTGCCTGTCTTCCTCAGCCACGCACGTCTCTACATCCTGGCAGATAAGTATGGTGTTGAAGATCTCCGCCGCCTCTCCATCTGCCGCCTCCATTGTATACTCTATTACTTTTACTTCGACCAATACAATATTCCCGACATCGTAGCGCTCGCACAGGAACTGTTCGAAAATACTGTGGAGGATGACATTGCACGAGAGATTATTGTGGAGTACTTTGTGTGCTTCATTGAGTACATTCGGGATACCCCAGAAGTCAAAGAGCTACTGCGCAAAGGAGGTGACTTTCCTGTGGCGTTGGTCTCTCGTGTGGCCATGCGCCTGTAAACTGGAGAAGGCGTACATGTGGCACTGGACTGAGATGGAAGCGAGGCGTTAGGATTAGGCATGTCAGGGCGTTCAGGATTTGACAGTGGTATTTCGGACTACTTGGCTTCGCTCCTTTGTTCCTCTACAGGAGAGAAAAGAATGGGGGGAAATCATCGTTGGTTTGTGACAGTCAAATTCGTTCACGGGATTTACTGGTCTTGCGGACAATTCGATAGAAAAGCCCAAGTTGTTAAAAGAATGACTATTCAGGACGTCATATATGCTCCGCAAGAGATGTAGTTGCTAAGACAAAAGACATCACACAATAGACACAAATAGAGCATGGACAGGTGCACAAGACTAATGGAAGTACGTCATCGAGGAATAATTTCATTTCCTAACTTTCGTCTCAAGTCTTTAATTCCTAGCTGCTAGTGGCGACATGCTACCAAGCAAGCTCCCTTTCTTCCCTCCATCCAACGACCTTGAGCCAGCCACAGAGGAAGATGTAATATTCGAAAAGAACAAACGCAAACGTAGATACACATTAGCGACTAGCGCAGCTACTTCCATCAGATAGAGGATCTCGCAGCAAGACGTCGCAACCTGTATACACGTCTCCCTTCAAACTAAATGACTGAGATGGCCACTCGCAAAGTCACCCTGACATGAGCGTAAATGGCATGCCATGCCACAATGACAGGTTAACGACCGCCTGAGATATACGAAGTTTATATAAACGTGAAACGAGAAAAAAAAAGTAGCTCGAAAGTAGCCACATGAAGAGAAGATAATTGGTCGAGTGAGTGACAAGAAGTTCGAAAGTAATTTAAATCATCCACCAGAAGAGTTAAGAAGCGTGAGCAGACCACAATGCTCAGGGTCTCTCCATGGTACCGCAGAACGCCGTTCCTTTTAATACTGTTTCATACAGGGCAATCAACGGCTGTAAGCCGCTCAATATGCCTGGCCAGGTACGGGTTTCCTGCTGAGGGAGCCCGAAGAAGATGGCCCCGAGCGAGGATCTTGAGAAGGATTCATGGGGCTGGGTCCAGGGGGGTTATTTCTTCGGTTCATCCCACTCGGGCTCTGTGAACGGCCACCAGAAGGCCCAGGTGACTGAGAACGAGGTCCAGGACTCATGGGCCTGCCACTGGGCGGTCCATTACGAGGACTGGGTGACTGTGCTCGAGGTCCTGGACTCATCGGAGGTCCTTGAGGCCGGCCGGGAGGTCCCATTGGTGATTGAGGACGGCTGCCATTAGGATTAGGACCGGCAGGTGAGGCAGGTCGAGCTTGACCAATGTTTCCTTGAGGGGTCATAGGTCGTTGTCCTTGAGGTTGGTTAGGCCCAGGTCCTCGGGGAGGCCCGCCAACCTTAACAGGAGGGCCTGGGCGAGGGCCGCTTTGAGCAGGGCGGGGCTTCACAGGACGAGTTGACAAACAGGTGCGAGGAACAACACCCTGTCGAGAACGGTCAAGTCTGATGCAGAGAGCCTAGAGAAAAGTTAGATTGGGCTGAGGCGTGAATTGAATTTTGTAAACTTACCCAGCCATCATCGTACTCGTGAAGGAGTCGTACAAGGTCACCAGCTCTAAGTTCCAATTCATCGTCCATAGTGGGCTTGAAGTCAAGTTGCACGCGGTGAACGGCCGAGTTTGCGGGTCCGCCAGCAGCAGCAATAGCCGCAGCGCCTGCAGAAGGGCTGTCGGGACCTCCAGAAGGAGCGGAAGAGCCACTGTACTCAGTACCAGCAGGACTAGCGGGAACAGCTGCCAGAGGGGCATTTGGAAGGGTTAGGTCAAGTTGCTGAGGGCCTCCAGCCTTACGGATCGAAGTCTTACGAGCGACCATAGCGGCAACTGTAGGTCCATTGGCGGCGAGGGGTCCCTGGGGAGAAGAAGGTGATTGAGGTGAGACTGGAGCGGTGGCGGCTGGGAGGGCGGCGGCAGCAGCAACAGCAATGGTCGACTTTTCCGACATGGGGCTGGGAGAAGCCCTCAGCGCAGAAGCAGTCTCTTCCTGAACGGGGGATGGAACACGCTCGGCCTGTGTGCCGAAGGGGTTAGCAGGATCGACGCTTTGAGCTGTTGTTGGACGCTCCCAGGCACTGCCTCCAATGGCTCGGGGGGACAAGGGACCAGTAGCAGGTGAAGAAGCGGCAGCTGGTACAGCAAGAGTTAAACCTGCACCTTTGCTTGTGCGCTTCTCCTTTTCAAGGCCATTCCAGTTGGGAAGGAACTGGGTGACGGGTCGGAGACTAACGCGGGGAGCCTTTGCATCAGTGCGGATAGAGGCAGTTTCAATGGGCTCAGGAGACATAGAACGACGCACAGCAGCTGCGGCAACCATTGGAGGGCCATCGTTACCAGCCATTGGGCCATGAAGCTTCTCATCATCATTCTCGAGTCTTTCCATCTCAGCCTGCTTTCGGCGTTTAGTGAAGATAAAGTAGACAAGCAAGCCCATGGCGAGTAATCCGCCAAGTACACCAAACGCGATTCCAGCCTTGGTTCCTGCACTGGTGCCACCACTAGCTTCTGGCACAGCACTGGAGCTGGAGCTAGGGAGACTCGAGGCTTCAGACATGTCGGCAACCTCACCGATAGTTGTGGAAGCAGAAGCTGAGCCAGTGGCTTTGGCGAGAATGGATTCGATAGATTGACTGCCAGTGGGGTCGCTAATAACGGAGGGGACGCTCGAGGGGTCGTTACTCGTGGTAATTTGGGTGCGAGTTCTGGTCGGTTTAGCTGTCGAGCTCTCCTTCGCATCGTCATTCTCCGATTTGCTGCGAGACTTGGCATC